TGTTATTGTTGTTGTTGTTGTGTGCCTTCAAGTCATTTCCAACTTATGCTGACCCTAAACCGAACCTATCATGGAGTTTTTTTGGCAAGATTTCTTCAAAGGAGGTCTGCTTTTGCCTTCTTCGGAGGCTGAGAGTGTGTAATTTGCCCAAGGTCACCCAGTGGGTTTTCATAGCCAAGGGAGGGGGGAATCGAACCCTGGTCTCCAGAGTCATAGTCCAGCACTCAAACCACTATGCCACATCAGCTCTCAGGGTTATCATATTTTAACTAAATAATAGCTGGCTGTAGAAAGGAAAAGCTTTGGAAAATTGTTTCTTTGAATGATTATTCCCAAAGTCCTTTTGTTAAGATGGGGAGTGAGTGGGGGATTCTGGGAGATGTACTAAAAAAAAAACAACTTTTCCAAATAACAGTTTGCCGTTTGCCAAAGACTACTCTGTAAGTTTCTTGGCTGAGCAGTAGTGCCACTGGGGCAGCCCTTGGGAGCAGAGGACTTGGGGTTCATTCAGTTAAATGAGCAGAATGACCTCTATGAGTAGTAAGGCTTATTGTTGTGATGGTGGTGGTATGCCTTCAAGTCCTTTCCGACATATAGCAACCCTAAGGCAAGCCTATCACAAGGTTTTCTTAGCAAGATTTGTTCAGAGTAGGTTTGCCTTTGCCTCCCTCTGAGGCTGAGAGAGTGTGATTTGCTTAAGGTCACCCAATGGGTTCCCCTGGCCAAGCAGGGTTTCAAACCATGGTCTATAGATTCTCTATAGAGTCATATTTTGAACTATGTGAAGGAATACACATTCCCCTCTAGCAACAAACTCTTGCCAGCAATAAACCTAATAAATCCAGCTAATAAATTTGAAGTTCTAAAACTACCCAACCGCAGTCCAAAATACAGCGCAGAAATAATCCAGTTCGAGACTACTTTAACTGCCCTGGATCAGTGCTGGGAATCATGGGGATTGTAGTTTATTGTGGCACCAAAGCTCTTTGACACAAAAGGCTAAATGTCTCACAAAACTTCACTCCCCAAAATTCGCTAGCATTGAGCCAGGGCAGTTAAAGCAGTCTCAGACTGGATTATTTCTGCAGTGTGTTTTGGACCTAAAATATAGTGATTGAGCAAGTACTGAAGCTGTACTGATTCCGGCTGAAGTCATTCCCTGACATACTAGATTTCTATGCTGCAAGGAGCAGGACTGGACCAAGATATTGCAATGACCAAGACAAAGAGCAAGTTTCCTCTTTCCATTCCGCATAAAGATGTTGATCTGGCTGGTAGTTAAATTTTACATTGATAGGGATCTTGGAGCAGGAGCATTCTGCAGTGGGTAGAAATGTATTTATGCACCTCATAGTTTCATCCTCAAACAACTCCCTGCCACATTTTGCACTCTACAGCCCCAGATACCAGACTGGCTTATTCAACAGAGCAGTTCTTATGGATCATCTTTCCACTCCAGATAAGTCAAAGTCCAAGCCTGAGCACTTTTTGGAAAATATTTTAATGTTGACCTGCCTGAAATGTTGGGTGTAAGAAGGTAGAGGTGCATACAGCAGTGGCATCACAAGGGAGGTGCGGACTGCACCAGGTGACACCCTAAAGAGGGTGACACCACTGCTCCTCAAACACCTACCTTTTGGCAGAAACGGGCTGTGGCATTCACCTGCATCCCTTTAAGATGCTTTAAGAGATGGTGGGATTGGGGTGAAGCTCGGTGGGAGGAGAAAGGAGAGGCCCCAGGATTTTTTTAAAATTAAAATTTCAAAATTTTAAACTTTCAAAACAAATTCAAAATTTTGAAAATTCTTGAAAATTTTTATTCCTTTTTTAAAAAATTCTTTGAAAGCATCACATTTTGACCAAATAGTCACTATGTATATGTAAATACATTTAGGTTATGCATATGATATTGTAATTTGAAGGTATAATTTTAATTTTGGTAGTTGTTTATGTCACAACGACTACCATTACATTCAGTGGTATATGGGACTTACAATTCACAAGTAACATTAGTGCAAAAAAGCATTACTAAGAATTCTGTATGGTGTAGGATGAGAGGAGGTCAATGGGGAGTGACTCCAAGAATTACTGGACTGGGTGACACAAACCCTAGGGACGCCACTGGCATACAGGACAGAGAATGGAAAAGTTACCTTTGTAGACTACAACTTCCAGAATGGCTGGGAGGATTCTAGGAGTTGCAGTCCAAAGGGTCTAAGTTCTGACCCAGGTTAAGCACTGAAACAATGACATTCTTATCAGAAAATAAAACCATTCTCTGTGCTGCGGCATATTTTTAGTCAGACGTTTTCAGCTCATCACAAGTGGCCTGAAACAAATCAATTTGGCAGTTTTCTTCTCCTTTCCTTTTGTTATGCAAACCATTTCTGATTAATGTCACCCCTGTCTCAGCCGCCCTTGGAAAACAACCCAGATAGCAAGAGATCATGTGAAAGTGCCAGCAGCAAGCTGGCATGGCAATGTGAGATTTAACCAAAGGGACAGGGAGAAAGAGCAGCTTTGCTTCTTGAAAAAAAAGAATCATCTTTTTCTGTCTTCCCTCTGTTCCGCTTGCCCTGAGTTTAGCAGAGCAGGGAGCAAGGGATGGGGATGTGGAGTTGGAGGGAGAACTCAGAATAATCACAAGACGTGGAGCCTGGGATGGAGCATCAGCATGCTCCGCCGCAAAGAACTGCAAGTCTTTCTGCTGAAGCATGCTCCGCTCCAGGAGACAGGTCACGGATTCAGAGACGGCTGTCATCCCAATCCCTGTCTATTAATAGCCACTGGAACTGCACAGCCAGAAGGCCTAGAGCCATTCTTCTGGGTTTCAGGGTTGCCAGATCAGAAATGAAGAAAAGAGAGCTAAAACTGAATGTACCAAACTGTGTTCAGAATTACTGTCTATTCGGTGCTTTCATCAATGCTTTAGGAAGTGTGTGACTGAGAGCTAGATTGCTGTCGGAGCACATTTAGCTAAACAAAAGAAGAAATCATAAAAGGAAAAGGAGGTCTCCAAAATGGTAAGGCATTTTCGCAGACCCTTGTGGGTCCGTCTGTTTATGAGGGAGAGACAGAATGCGGATGATAAAGTGATCAGAGAAAAATGAAGGAAGAGGCAGACGTGAGAGAAAGACACAGGTAAGAAAGTGATGAGAAACAAATCGGAGTTAAGGGGAACACATTCCCTGAACTTAAGCTGTTTTCCCTCCACAAAGGGATTTCCTCTGGCATAATCAGATTTGTAACTTACTTTTGTGTTTAACTTCCAGGACAGGACACAGAATGGAATCAAAAAGCAAAGCATGTGAAACATGAAACAGATAGGTGAGGAAAACCATGTGTTATAGCAAAAAGACATCTTTAACCATTTGAGGAAGCACATCTGCAAGAAACCATGATAAAGCTATCACACAGGAGTTTATGACATGGAGGCAAATTGCTTAAATCCCATGAAGAAACAGGATTTAAAAATCCGGGGTAAAACCCACAAAAGCGGGTTGTTTTTCAGACGCATTTGTGTAAAGGAGAAATAACGCAACATTAACCCGAATGGAAAGTCACCAAAACTCGCTCCTTTTTACTTTCAGAAGTTTCTTGATGCTAACATCATGTGAAAAACAACCCACTTTTGCAGATTATGTCTACTTTCTGTTTGGGTTAACTCCGAATGTTGTGTGAAAAACAACCCACTTTTGCAGTTTTTTTTTACTTCAAATCCAGTTTCTGCACAGGATCCGTCCCATGACAGGCAAGAGAGATGGGGAGATGGGGAGGAATACGTAGGGGTATTGTAAAGTTTTAATTATCACCTTTATAAAAAATTGACAGAAAGTTTGTTTTGATTTGCAATTGTTAACTTATCTCAACGCAGTCACCATCCAGATTTACACATTTCCCCCAGTGTTTCTTGACCCTCCAAATACTGTTATTGTAGAAGTCTGCAGATTGCACCTTAAACCACTCTTCCACTTTGTGAATGACGTCATCTGTGTTGTCAAATCGGTGACCCCGCAATGGATTTTTCATTTTTAGGAAAAGAAAAAGTCACTTGGTGATCAGGTCACTGATAAAATTTCATCAGTATACCACAAGAACTTCCGGGTGATAATTATTACTTTAAGATACCCCCTCATACTTCCCCATCTTACACTTTGGTCACTTCTGGCACAACCCGTAACAAAAATAAAGGACACAATGAGCTGATTTTCTCAACATCATGCACTTAGGGACCAATGATGACACTGACAAAATTTCATCTGTATACCATAATAACTTCCGGGTGATAATTATTACTTTACAATATGTACTTCTCTCTCTTACACTTTAGGCACAACCTGTAACAAAGATAAAAGATACAATGGACTGATTTTCTCAACATCGTGACATTAGGGACCAATGATGACACTGACAAAATTTCATCCATATACCACAGTAACTTCTTTCTGTTCTGCACGTATTGCGTCTGCAGAGTCC